GCCGCCTTCTAATTAGCACAGCCAATAGTCTATAGCAGGGCAATTCCTGCTATAGACTAAAAATAAACTATACAAATAAAAACAATACCTGACTTGATACCAAACCATGAAATAAACTTGAACATGAACACAGGCAAAGACTCACAAGCAGTAGTTACACAAAACAAAGCTAGACAATGGACAATGAAACATGAGGGCTATATATATATATATATATATATATCAAACAAATGGGGTCACATGACACAATCCATCCAATGACAGAGATGAGCTGAGGAACATGAACCAAAGAGAAGACAGGACAAAAGACCACATGACAAAACAATAAATCAATGAAAACATGACACAAGGAACAGGGAATCACATGACTAACAGAGGACATGACTGTGGCAAAACTACAAAATTAAAGACATGAAAACATGAACATAAACCAACACCCAAAACCAACCGTGACATATCCCCCCATCTAAGAGTGGCTCACGACGCCCTAACAAACCACCCAAAACAAACAAAGAGTCCAGGAGGGTGGAGGACTGGAGGTAGTCCAGGGGGTGGGATGGAGGTCAGGCCCATGCAGGGGAAATGGACCTGGATCATGACATCGCAGACCTGGGCTGTGGAGCAGTGGTGAACTTTGACCATGGAGCAACGGCAAGTTTGTACCATGGAGCAGAGGTGAACCCGGACCGTGGAGCAGTTGCAGGTCTGGACCATGGAGCAGAGGTGGGCCTGGACCATGGAGTAGTAGAGGACATGGTCCATGGAGTATAGGCGGAGACCATGGTGGAGCCGGCAGAGCAGGAAACCAGGGTGGAGCTGAAGACCACCAGGGCAGAGCAGGCAGGATTGAGGATCCCCACGGTGGAGCAGATGACCACCAGGGTGGAGCCGGCAGTGCTCAGTCAGGAGGCCATGGCGGAGCAGAAACGGAACGGGCAAACAGTTTGTGAGCGGCCTCTGTGCCCGCAACATGACAGGCAGATTATCCTTGAACGGCCTCAGTGGCCATAGCATGACCATGTTGGGTGGAGGCTCTAGCGTGGCAGCTATGACAGGTCGAGGCTCTGGAGTGGCCGCCATGAAGAGACGATGCTCTGGCGTGGCAGCCGAGGCGTGACGAGGTGTGGCGGCCATCTTGGCTGAAGACTCAGGCGTGGTGGCCATCTTGGCTGAAGACTCAGGCGTGGCGGCCATCTTGGCTGAAGACTCAGGCGTGGCGGCCATCATAGATATGTATAGGTAGATGCCTCATTCGACAGCTCCAAGCACGTAGACGTACTGTCCGCCATCTCGTAACGGTCAACTTGACATCAATCACCATAATAATCAATGAATATTAGAAGATGCTACAATCCTGCACAGCCGATGGTTATAAAAACTGCCAGGATTTAAATTCCCGAAGAAACGGGGTAATCTTTCACGGGTGAGAATGCGAGACAGGGGCGGAACCATAGATATGTAAGGATTGTGGCATCTTCGAATATTCATTGATTATTATGGTGAATGACGTCAAGTTGACCCTTCCAGTATGGCGGACGGATTATATATAGTGGCCCTTAGAAACAGTCGCTAATGAGGCATCTACGTATACATATCTATGGTGGCCATGACGTGGAGAGGCTCTGGCTTGGCAGGCATGCCATAAACAAATCCTGACATGACAGTTTGTCTACAAAACTTGACATGACTACAAAACTTTTTTTTTCTTTTTTAATCTCAGAATAAAGGCAGAAAATATATTTAATAGTTTCTATACTGCAATAAATATGTCAGTTTGCACTGCATAATTCATATACTTCTGATGACTTGAGATGAAAAACACACATAAACCATATACTGTCGCAATCGTGTGTTTGTCTTTATTGCGATAGCTGGATGCCTTTGTCTTGATTTCCTGGCATAAGTTATTACCTCTCTGAGTCCATTTTGGACCTTCTGTGCTAGAGCACTTGTTGTTGAGACTTTGAGTATGAATGAAACGTACACTGCATGAGAGTGCTTAGGGCTCCACAGTGTTCACATCGCCTCATTTTGGATACAAAAAAAACATCAGCTCATACATAGACTATCTTTTCTCTTTGACTTATTTACACTGGCTTTTGAACACACTTGCCGAAAAAAGTGTGGGGGACGAATTTACATTTTATTAAAAGTATGCCCATGGAACAACTTAGCAGCTCCATAACCCTATAGGAATCAAATAGCAACTCCAACTCTATCGAATGGCCTAAAATCTGCATAGTAACACCCTAGCAACAACCCAGAACACTCTAGCACCCACACAGCAATGCCTAAGCAAGCTCTCAGAACAGTCTAGCAACTGCATTGCAATACCCTAGCAACTGCATAGCAACCCCTTCTCAGAATGCCTAGCAATGTCCTAGCAGCCACATGACAATGCACTAAAAACACTCAAGATGCTTTAAAAAAAATCACAGCAACATTCTAGTAAAGCTTTGCACAGAAAAACACCACTTACATTTTCAGAAAGAAAAAATCTGGTCCTCTATGTTATGATGCAAATTTACAGAGACACGCTCATTATTATATATTTTACAACTAGCAGGTGCCTTTAAATATTTAGTTGTCGATGCTTTCTCCACAGGATCATTGCACAGTTATGGACGTGGATGTTGTTTACTTTTGTGGCTTGGAAAGTAAAGACCATCCATTCATTCTTTATTTCTAATTACAGAGATATGTTTCTTGCCAACACTTCCCCTCTGAACCTCCAAACACGCACACAGAGACACACACACCGAGACACACACACACACACACACACACACACACACAAACAAAGGTATACACATCTACATGATTTTACATTGAATTAAAAAAAAAGTCCATCAGTAGAGGAATGACCTAATCTTATTCTTTGCCAATAGCCTGAAACACAACTAGTGCTTGAACGCCGACTTTTTGACAAAACTCCTCCAGACCAAACAAGGAGTGCTAGACAATCTGGGTTTAAAACTCAGCAAGGGGTGCAGAGGGGGATATGGTACCTTTCCAGAAAACCCCCTTGGTTTCTTTACAAAATTTTGACACAAACTGCCATAATGTTTGTATAATATGCAAGAATCTAACAATCTAATGGGCAGTTGCGTACAGGCAACAACTCACGAATGCAAGTGACCATATGGAGTGATACCTTTGGAGAAGAAACAATATCATAAAAAATGACTGTCAACAAATGACTGTCAAGATTCAGGAACATTTTAAGCTAGTGAAAGACATTTACAGCACCTTTAGCGTAATGTGTGACTCATACTTCTATTGTCAAATCTTCTGGACGTCATTCATCCTAAAAGACTGTTTGAAGTTTGAAGTACATTACAATTTATTGCCTATTAAGAAGAGAAACAACTTAATTATGAAAAGGCCATTTATGTATTGGTCCCTCTTGTAAGCCTCCATTCTCAGAGGTCACACTGAACCGTTAAGGATGCACCATTATTTCAAAAGTCTTCATGATTTAGCCATCAATATTCCAGTTGGATCTAAAGGTTTTGGGGCTACATGGGTTACTAAAATCTGTGTTGTCAACCTTCAATAATGTGTTCCAACACACACCCATTCAGTGTTTTTCCATCACATACATGATTTCATGTGTTCCTCTGGGACTCATGCGTTAATAACAATAGAGTGATCCCTGGAGCCTGGCCAAATGACTTTAAAGGGGTCATATGATGCTGCTAAAAAGAACAGTATTTTGTGTATTTGGTGTAATGAAATGTGTTTATGCGGTTTAAGGTTCAAAAAACACATTATTTTCCACATACTGTACATTATTGTTTCTCCTCTGTGCCCCGCCTTTCTGAAACGCGTCAATTTTTACAAAGCTCATCGGTCTGAAAAAGCGAGGTGTGCTGTGATTGGCCAGCTAAACAGTGCGTTGTGATTGGCCGAATACCTCAAGCGTGAGACGGAAATGTTACGCCTCTCACCATA